CGAACATGATGACGCTGAATTATGGAATGCACTTCGAAGAGCTCACCTAATCGATGATACTATTATAAGTTCAAACACTGATAATGATAGCAAATCATTACAGAATAGACAATCACAAAGTCAAGTAATGTGGACGCTCGATGCACCTGTTAGTGAGAATGGTAGCAATTATAGCCAAGGTCAACGACAGTTGATAGCACTTGCAAGAGCATTGGTGCGTAAATCTAAATTGATTATTATGGATGAGGCGACAGCTAGTGTAGATTTCAAGACAGACCGTATGATCCAAAAGACAATACGTGAGGAGTTTAGTGACGCGACTCTATTGTGTATTGCACATCGGTTAAGAACCGTTGTAGATTATGACAAAATTTTAGTGTTAGGTAAGGTATCATTTGGACTTGTTTGAAGCATTCTGTCAACATGTTTTTTTTTATGGATTTATATTCTGTAATTGTAATAGATGCTGGAAATATTGTGGAGTTTGATCATCCATATATTCTTTTGCAAAATCCGGCTTCAGTTTTTCGTGGAATGTGTGATCGAAGTGGAGATTTGGTAGAATTGGTCGAAGTTGCTAGGGCAAAATATGAAAAAGATTACGGAAATATTAGTGTTTAAAATTATTACGTAGATCTAACACATATATAAATTGCTGCAATGAAAGCAGCAGGTATTAAGAATCGGGGCATTACAATTGAAATGACAAAAATTACCGACGAAGTGGCAAAGACTGAATAAAGAAGAAACATAGCAATAGGAGATATGTTCTGGTCAATTGTCTCCAAATCTTTGGAGAACCGATTCAATATCCTTCCTTCAAAAAATTAACATGCATTATTAAGTGCGCAGAAGTTACATAAAGTTATATAACTTAATATATATATATATTACCTATTGGTGTTGTGTCATAAAATCTAAGCGTTGCTAACAGCACCTTATCTAATATATCATTATGTAACTTCCTAGACGCCATTAAAGAGCCAATGAACATATAATATGCTTTAAAGGTCGTTAATATGGTGGATGCCAATCCAATTGATACATAAACCCAAAGATAGTAGTTAACATTGACGGGTTCATGGGTCTCTTCCCACATGTTTATAGGTGAGAAATGATCGGTCGGAGTGGAATGATTGAGGAAGGGAGACAAATAAGAAGATAATGCAAAGCCCTTCGTAGTTTGGTGTAAATTTTCTAGTAAAAGAGAAGTGATACCCCCAGACATTGTCGAAGCAAATTGGTGGATTTGATTATAAGCATCGCCATAAGCTTTAGTCCATTCTCGAATCCACCATTCTAGATAAAATAATAAGAATGATTAGTAATACCGTATTAACATATTAAAATACTTTATTATCAATTTAAGTGAATTAAACAATTAACCTTGCCCAACTTGAATAACTTGTGTCACCAAAAATAAAAAAAGCAATGACATCCAATACCAAAATCCGCCAGATGCTACCAAGTAGAGTTTGTAATACTTCCATCCAACCATACCGACAGCTCTGGTTTCTTCGGCAACCAATTTTCCATCGCCTTCGCGGATATTTTTGTTGTTTTTTTGAGATTTCGCATCTGTGACATCCTCAGCAGAGGTTCCTGACTCTTCATCGCTTTCAATAGTCACATCGTCCAACAGCCCTGTAGCCAAAATTTCTTCTACAGTCCCTTCACCCGATATTTGACCATCTTTAATAACTACCACTTTAGCAGCACCACGAAGGCATAGTCCTACGTGATGTGTAACAAGAATACGAGTACGATCTTTCATCAAGTCACCCATCAAACATTGTTCATATATATGTTTAGCAGTATGTGAATCAACAGCTGTGTAGAGCGAAAAAATGTAAGTTCTAAAAAATGAACAATATTTATACGATATTATTATATACTATAGATTTACCGGATAAGCAATCGTCTATAATGATTATTTTAGCTTGAGAGTAAACAGCTCTGGCTAAAGCGACACCTTTAATAATAGGGTTAACAAAAATAACGTAAATAAGACAAAACCTCAAATTTTCAGACGGATACACTAGCTAATACTTACG